ATTTAGGCTTGCCATAACAAAGGGGTTGAATACTTATTGACTCAAGACATTTCAGCTTATTATTTTTAATTAATTTGTAAAACTTTCTAACAACATAATTCCACTTTGACGTTATGGGGTATTGTCTGTCGGCCAGTGACAAAAAAAATCTCAATTTAATCAATTTTAAATTCAGGCTGTAACACAACAAAATGTGGAAAAAGTCTAGGGGTGTGAATACTTTCTGAAAGCACTGTACTTTTAATGTAATCTTAACCACAATCCAGGTAATTTCATTGTGCGATTAGATGAAGCACAGTGATAACATATTAAGTTGTTGTAAAATTCACTCAATGCTGCAGGATTATTTTGAGAGTACTGATTGGAATATGTTCAAAAATCGTCCACCCAGGATTCATCCATCAACATTGAGGAATATACGTTGTCAGTCAAAGGCTTCATTATGTTGATGATGTTGTACCCACAATAACAATCCGGACATACCCCAACCAAAAACCCTGGATGAACGGATATATCCGTACCATGCTGAGAGCCCGTACTGCAGCATTCAATGTCAGCAGAACGAACCCCGATGACGTGGTGGCGTGCGACGTGTACAAGACAAGCAGGTACAAGCTCTGCGAATCCATTAGCAACGCAAAAAGACAATACATACTCAAACTTCAATTGATGTTCGATAACTCAGACACGTGGCAAGGACTACAGACTAGCACGGACTACAAAGGAAAATCCAGCTGTGTCGTGCCCACCGAAGCCTCCCTCCCAGACGAGCTTAACACATTCTATGCTTGCTTCGAGGCAGACAATACCGAGCCATCCAGGAAGACTGTCTGCTCCGGACGACCAGGTGCTTTCGCTTTCCTAGGCTGACGTGAGGAAAACTATCAAAAGAGTGAATACTCACAAACCCGCTGGCCTAGATGGCATCCCTTGCCGCGTCCTCTGAGTGTGTGCTGACCAGCTGGCGGGCGTCTTCTCTGACATCTTCAACATGTCCCTGTTCCAGGCTGTAGTCCCCACCTGCTTTAAGGAGACCACCATCCTCACAGTGCCCAAAAACAACAAGGTGACATGCCCAAATGACTATCTCCCTGTCTCCCTCACCCCGGTCATCATGAAGTACTTCAAGAGACTGGTCATGGCCCACATCAAGGCCAGTATACCAGGCACACTGGACCCACAGTAATTTGCCTACCGCTCCACAGATCCACGGAAGATGCCATTTCCATCGCTATTCACACGGCCTAAACACATCTGGACAAGAAGAACATCTATGTGAGAATTGTGTTCATTGACTACAGTTCAGCATTCAACACTATTGTTCCCTCCAAGCTTGACACCAAGCTCAGAGCCCTGGGTCTGGACCACCCTCTGCAACTGAATCCTGGACTTCCTGACGGGCAGACAACAGGCTGTGAGGATTGGCAAGAACACCTTCTGTACACTGACCTTTAAAACAGGGACCCCCCAGGGGTGTGTCCTCAGCCCTCTGCTGTACTCCCCTGTTCACCCACGACTACGTGGCTTTGCACGACATTAACTCCTCCATCATCAAGATTGCTGACGACACCACGGTTGTAGGTCTGATAACCAACAACGATGAGTCAGTCTATAGGGAGGAGGTAAGTGAACTGGCATTGTGATGACAGGACAACAACCTCTCCCTCAACGTCAGTAAAATAAAGGAGTTGATTGTTGAATTCAGGAAGCAGAGGAGGGAACATGCCCCTATCCACATCAACAAGACTGCAGTAGAGAGAGTCAGCAGTTTTAAGTTCCTCGGTGTCCACATCACTAAGGACTCGACATGGACCAACAACACCACTACTCTTGTCAAGAGGGAGCAATATCGTCTCTACTTCCTAAGGCGGCTGAAGAAATTTGGCATGCCACCCAGAGTCCTCTCCAAATACTACCGCTGCACCATTGAGAGCGTCCTGACCGGTTGTATCATGGCCTGGTACGGGGATTTCTCTGTCCACGACCCCAAGGCCCTCCAGTGGGTGGTGAAGACAGCCCAGTACATCACTGGGACCGTGCTCCCACCCAACCAGGACATCTACTAGAAACGGTGCCTGAGGAAGGCCTGTAGCAGCATCAAAGACCCCATCCACGAGCTCTTCACTCCCTTACCGTCGGGCTCAGAGACTGTTTCTATCCACACACACACACACACACACATCACAACTGTGCCTTCCTGCATTATACTTATGCTAAAATGTTTATTTTATTCTACTGAGCCATTTACTTTACGTTTGTATTCTTATCTTTTATTATTTCTTATTGTTGTTGCATCGTCGAGAAGGAACCTACAAGGAAGCATTTGGTTGGATGGTGTAAACCCTTCAAACTCAACTCTGGACCTCGAAGCCAGTTCCAATGTGTTTTTTTAAATTGTTCCCCTCTAATCAGGAACTGATTTAGACCTGGGACACCAAGTGGTTATAATTAATTAATTATTACAGAAAACCAGCAGTTTCCAGATCTCGTAGTGTAAGAGTTGAATACCCCTGTTGTATACCTTGTATCCCGTACATACGACTAATACAACTTGAAACACAAACACAATGCTAGCTAATGCTCCCCTAACGCTTCCCTAAAGTCTGCTGATGTTATAGGAGGAATCTGGGTCAAGGTGACTAAGCTGTGAAGTTTGGCCTACTCAGCAGATGATCATCTCCATCATAAACTCGCCAGTCTTCTCTCTCTCTCTCTCTCAGGGGGAAACTAGTTAAACCAGAGTCTATATACTGAAGCGGTGGAGTTCGTCAAGACTGGCCTCGTTTCTAGGAATAAAAAAACATCTAGTACGTTTTCACCATGATAAAGATAAATCAGCGAGATGGATGGAGGGAAAGAAAGAGAGATTGAGAGGAGGGAAAGACAATGGCTTTGGGGAGACATCTGGGGGTACTGCAGCTTCTCTTAAATTGGAACCAGGAGACCTGACAAGGCCTCTTCCTCAGTGAATGGACTCTCTGTGCTTTTGTTATGAGCCCCCCACCCCCAAACTCCTCACCCCCTCTGGACCCTCCCCAACAACCCCACCACCCCCTGGATAAAACATTTGGGTGAGTTGCGTAATCAACATCAGAGATTTGTGCTGGCAGGGACCTCTGGCTTGGCTCCAGGCCTGATGAAACTCAACAGTGGTGCATATTGAGAGTGCACTCCAGGACTCCATCTTGACTCTGAACCAATAGTTTGTTTGATGATGGAGAAAATGACTACCAGATAGAGAGATGGGAATGGAAAAGAGCTTTAAGCTGTCTCTTGTATTTACGCACACACAGAAACGCACAATTGAAACTGAGGGGTCTGAAGAATTCTCAGGTTGCCTGGCCTTTGATTTCACCAATCACTTTTCCCCACAAAGGGTGATTCTGCCAGCTGCTGGGGGAGGTAAGATGTCATTTGGCCAACACTAAACAGCTCACACCTCTTTACTGCTTATTTAAGTCATCTGAAGCCATTACTGTATTCCAGAGTTGAGGGTCAATTCGGTTTTCAATTGTAATACCCACTAGGTCACTCACACACTTACTGAATCCTATATTGGACAGTGTGAAACAGTGAAATGTTGCCTGGAAGCAGAGCTGTATGAATGGCTACATCAGGTAAACCATTCTGGCTTGACATTCACAAACACTGAGATACCATCCGTCTCTCTCTGACATCCAGCCCGCTCCCAGTGCAGTCTGGCATGATATATCTGTTGTGTTTGTAGTAAATCTATCTTCTAGTACAAAGCCATTGGTGTTTCTGAGAGACTCAGAGAACGAGAGAGACAAAGGGAGAGATGATGATTTGGCAATGGCCATGTGGAATGAAGTGCAATAAACTTGTGAAAGTACCATCCATGGATAACGTGGTCAGTCTAGCAGTGTTTGCATGTGTGTCAGTAACTTTCTCCAGATCGGTCTCTTCAGGGGTGCTGGGGTCTAGATCAGAGGGGGGCATGTTAACACGACCAGCATGACTCCCAACCTCCTGTAAACCACTGTGTGTATGTTGTGACCAAGAGAGAAAGACAAAGAAATAGGGGGATCGAGAGGAAAAATAGGGACCGAAAGAGAGAGGCGGAGAGAAAGATGGAGAGACTTCCACTGGCAGTGAGTGTCCTGTATAAAAGCTCTGACATAATCAGTTACGTGGGACTATTTTCTGGCTCTCCAGGGGAGTAACACACACACACACTGATCTCACTGTGTAGTCTGTATCTCGGTGTGCGAGCAGCAGCAGCAGCAGTGTTATCAGCCCCAGTAGTTTATTTCCCACAGTAGAGGTTGGAGTGGAACCAGGAAACTGAGGAGTGTGATTATTTGCTATTTCCTAAAGGTCAACTGAGGAGGGGGGGGGCCTCTCGCTAAGTTCATATTCAGCGTGTGTTTGTGTGTGTCAAACAGCCATGTGTTTCCAATTGTTGTTTATCCAGGGTTGGCATTGAGCAACTTCAGCTAACAATGCTTTCTTTTAAAACAGGGATAACGGATTACACACACTTTAATCTGACATTGTCAGCACTCCCTTGGGACATTTATATCAGTATTTCTGTGTTAGGGTTGCTTGTGTGAACAGATTGTGTGTGTGTGTATGGTCCCCGTAGTCATTACCATAAGAGTGGCTGATGTATACAATGTGTATTTAACTGATTACTTTCTTCTGCTCCTTCTTAATCATACACTAGAATTGTGTGTGTTTCCCCTAACCATCTTTACATTAGCTATAATGGCCATACTATCTGTATTCACTGGCATGTAACTTAAATATAGATACAATCATATACATGTGTTGTGTTATATCAGGACTGAGGTGGGAGAGTTGCCATTATTAACAGCCAACATTGGTGTTACAACCTACGATACATTCAACATGCAACAGTTTCTAATTTAAAGCAAATCGACCATGTTAAATCCTATGAGGAGGAGGTATGAAACTCTCACAGGCTCTCAGTCAATGGAGACAAGATGTTAGACAAATTAGGAAAGTTAATCTATTCTACTGCAAGAATAGACACAAACTTTTCTCCCAGTTGACCAATAAATTAAGTATTCTTCTGCCAACAGACAAGAGTCTGGCCAAAGTACAAACTATCATGGATCACAATGACATTCACACAGAAGAGGCCCCTTCAGATATGAACAGTCTGTTAGAGATATAAACAGGAATCTTACGAAACCTGAAACTGAAAAACATATGGAGTTTCTGTTTAAACATCTTCACAATGCAGGCCGAAAACAGTGTGTTTGTCATCAACTTTATGCCCAAGAAATCAAAAAGTTACAACATGATTGTTGGACATGTTAGGTGATAATGAGAGGAGTATTTCAAGTTAAAAGTTTGAGGTCATGGGAAACATAACAGTTACGTCTGACTTCATCTTCAGTCCCCCATCCAGGGATAAAATAGACTTTCATGGTCTTATTCCAAAACAACTTTGACAAGGATAGAGTTGCTCCCATAGAAATTAATAGATATCTCTGGTTGCTCCATGGTTGTCTAGTCTCCTAAGACCAGGTCTGTTCTGACAAAAGGAGAAGTGTGTTTCCTTTTCACAGATATCAGCACTCATAGTGGGCCCTGTCCCACATCTATTTGTCACCCCACTCCCACTTCTTAGATCCATCACCTGGGCTGATTCAACCTAGCAGTTCTGACAGGCCTGTAAAGTTGCAGTAATGTATTTTTCACCACTAGGTGCCAGCAGTGCTTCATGTTCCAGTTCTCTCTACAGACTTGCTGTGAAAAACAGCTGCCCTCTCCTCCATCTCATGCCCACTGGACAGACCTCATCAACACATCTCAAGCTGATGTCAAATTCGCTTTGGCAATACGTGTTGTCCACGCTAGATGTGATGCTTGTCTGTGAGATCCATTCAGCCTGGCTTTGTCCCTAGGGCTGGGGGCTGTGGAGAGCTGGAGGGTTCAGGTACCTGTGTACAGTAGCTGAGAGGAACATCCAGTCCCACAACAGGACCCACCACACTGAGCCAGGTCACTATGTAGTTCACCTGTCTGCACAGCGGTCAGAGGGCAAAGGTTACACAGGAGAACACAAACACACACACAGGTGTAATACTTTCAGATAGAATACACGTGTTGAGTCTCAAACTCACCTGTGTTCTTCCAGGGCAGCTTTTAGAACAGGCCTCATAAACTCCTCTGTCCTGCAGGGGTGGAGCACAAAGAACGACTGGCCTAGCAACGGGTGTTCCTAGAGAGAGAGAGAAATATGGACAGAAGATTGAGTGTGGTGTTGAGTAGGAGAGTGGAAGTGGGAGATTTATGGAGGAAAAATAGATTAAGAGAGGGATACAATCTTAAAGGGAAAAGATAAAGAGAGTGACAGAGGGAAGAGAGAGAGGAGTGGTACCAACCTGTTGTGTGATGGTGTCCCAGGGTCTGTGTTGTAGTCTCTGTCTGTAGTTAGGATGAACACTGTCCCATACCTCCTCTAGACACAGACTCCTACCCTCTGACAGAGAGAGAGACAGAGAAAGAAAGAACAAGTGAGAGGAAGAGAGAGACCAGTAAGTGTATAATGAAGTGGATTGCTGAAGACGATGCGAGTCCTGTATTTGCAATATATTACTTCAAATAACCATTCAGCCAGTACTGTCTGGCTACATACCCAGGGTTGAGGCTCTGAAGTAGAGGACAGGAGTCTGGTAGCTGCAGGAGTAGAGGATGTGGTATTCATACTGAACCACACTACTACTACTGTCCTCCTCCTGTTTACAACACACTGCTCCTTCATCATCATCATCATCATCATCATTATGGAGAGAGAGGGAGGAGGTCCTCTCCTGGTGCTGGTCTGAACTGGTGCCTTGCTGGTCCCGGTTACATCTGGTTCTGCCGGTCCCCAGTGCAGTCTTCCTCAGGTAGCCCTCTTCAGAACCCTGGAATGGAAACATTATCAATCAATCGCATTTTATAAAGACCTTTTCATATTAGCAGTCAAAGTGCTTTACATTTACCCGGCCTTGACCCCAAAGAGCAAATAAAGCAGAAGTGAAAGCACAGTGGCCAGAAGGACGAAACCTAGAGAGGAAGCCGGCTTAGTGGTGGCCCATCCTTTTTGCCCACCCAAAGATTTTGGGATTTTAGTTTTTGGTCAAAAACGACTCACCAGGAATTCAGCTCAAATCTGTTCCCAAGTATTCCCACAAATAATTTTAAAAAAGAGATGTGCTTGTGTCTCAATGTAACTAAGGTATGAAATTATTTTTATGTTCAAATACAATCTCTTTTGGGGTTAGTTCTGGTGAATTTACAGTGTAAATGATTATGTTCCGGCCCCCTGAACATCCACTCCGACAAAAATCACCCCATGACTTAATCTAGTTGCATACCCCTGCTCTACAGATTCACACACATCCGATTCTAATCAGACAGCCAATCATTCAGCACTGAGCTTCTTCAGGTGGCTGGGGTAGTCAAGCAGCCTCAAAAAAGGCCTCTAACCTTTCCTTAACCCTAATTCTGTGTAACCCAAACCAGCCCCTCTCCCTCCTCCACCCCATACCTTCACTTGTTCCCAGCTCCAGCCATCACAGAGGGAGTGGGAGTGTTGGAGGAACAGCTGACTGCACTGACAGAAAGTCTCCTCATCCAGAAAACAGCTACTCATCTCTGGAGGAGGAGATATGAAGGAAATGGGGAACAGGAGGAGATGAGGAAGAGGACAAGAGAGCATCATATGTTAAGCCAGATTCATGAAAATAAGTCAGTCTAAATGCACCAAGGTCGTTTGAATGAACACAGATCTACTGGCTGGTAGCTGACTGAAACTAGCTAACTAACACACGTCTGCGTATTCAGGTCGCAATGTTGCAGTTCTACAGTGATGTAGATAGCTAGCTAGTTTTAAACATTTAACATTCGAATGTTTTATCAACATTCCTGGAAGTGAGATGGCGATATTTGTACATGAAAGCTGTCACGTAATAGCCTCGTTTGACACGGTAACAACATGAGATCAAGGGATCTGCTGGTTTATTTTGTATTTTTTTTCGTTGCAAGTATGTTTTATCACGTTGATTTTGGCTGAAAGCAGGACTAAAAGTTAACATCAGCTTTAGGGTGCAGTATGGCCAATGGTTGCAATTGACATCAGATGTGTGGGTGATTTTGGTGCATATTGATGCATTAAACGAGAGATCAGCGGTCGATAATCTGGTGGCTATCGATTAATACAATAGGCCCATACTGTTCAAGGTTTTCAATGTTTAATGTTCCCGAGGAAATGTATAACAAGCTAAAAGCGCACTCTGAAAACAAAACACGTTTCTTACCGGGGCAACTTCCGGGATCTCGTTTGCGGAGGGAGAATGAGGAAAGAGCCAATCAGATTTGGCGCTTATAAACCGCCCCTTCTGCTACACTGACGGAATTGCACGATCCTTTACCATTGCGACATAACCCTTACCATTGAGTTAATGTATGTTCCTCACAGGTGGTTTCAAGTGAATTAATTGAATTCTTGATTGTATTTATTTGTCTGGATAATTTCATTTATATGAATATTGATGATTATTATGTCACACGTAGTTTGCTGTGATTCCAGTTCAGCTGTGTTCGTTTTATACCATCTTGATATGGTGCTGGTGTTATACTCAAGGGGCTAGGGTTTCTTCTTCTTCTGCTTTTTGTTCTGTATTATGGCGGTTCACAAGTAAATGTTATTGGTGCATGCTGCCACCTACTGCATTGGCTGTGTATCAGCCTACTATTCTGTAGTATTCATTCGTTACACTTTGGGACTAACCAACCCTGCTACCAAAACCTCACCACTATTCCACTACTTTGGTCCTATCTGATCCTACTCCAGGGACACTATCATTCAAAACATCTTGTACACCCAAGTACTTTTCTGCAGCTGCCACAACAGCATCTATCCTTTGTGATTTACGTTCCATTCCTGCAGTACAATTTTTATTTTTTATTTTTTTATTTCACCTTTATTTAACCAGGTAAGCCAGTTGAGAACAAGTTCTCATTTACAACTGCGACCTGGCCAAGATAAAGCAAAGCAGTGCGATAAAAACAACACAGAGTTACATATGGGGTAAAAAACATAAAGTCAAAAATACAACAGAAAATATATATACAGTGTGTGCAAATGTAGCAAGTTATGGAGGTAAGGCAATAAATAGGCTATAGTGCAAAATAATTACAATAGTATTAACACTGGAATGCTAGATGTGCAAGAGATTATGTGCAAATAGAGATACTGGGGTGCAAAAGAGCAAAATAAATAACAATATAGGGATGAGGTAGTTGGGTGGGCTAATTTCAGATGGGCTGTGTACAGGTGCAGTGATCGGTAAGGTGCTCTGACAACTGATGCTTAAAGTTAGTGAGGGAGATAAGAGTCTCCAGCTTCAGAGATTTTTGCAATTCGTTCCAGTCATTGGCAGCAGAGAACTGGAAGGAATGGCGGCCAAAGGAGGTGTTGGCTTTGGGAATGACCAGTGAGATATACCTACTGGAGCGCAAACTACGGGTGGGTGCTGCTATGGTGACCAATGAGCTAAGATAAGGCGGGGATTTGCCTAGCAGTGATTTATAGATGGCCTGGAGCCAGTGGGTTTGACGACGAACATGTAGTGAGGACCAGCCAACAAGAGCGTACAGGTCACAGTGGTGGGTAGCGTATGGGGCTTTGGAGACAAAACGGATGGCACTGTGATAGACTACATCCAATTTGCTGAGTAGAGTGTTGGAGGCTATTTTGTAAATGACATCGCCGAAGTCAAGGATCGGTAGGATAGTCAGTTTTACGAGGGCATGTTTGGCAGCATGAGTGAAGGAGGCTTTGTTGCGAAATAGGAAGCCGATTCTAGATTTAACTTTGGATTGGAGATTCTTTATGTGAGTCTGGAAGGAGAGTTTACAGTCTAACCAGACACCTAGGTATTTATAGTTGTCCACATACTCTAGGTCAGACCCGTCAAGAGTGGTGATTATAGTCGGGTGGGCGGGTGCCAGCAGCGTTCGATTGAAAAGCATGCATTTAGTTTTACTAGTGTTTAAGAGCAGTTGGAGGCTACTGAAGGAGTGTTGTATGGCATTGAAGCTCGTTTGGAGGTTTGTTAACACAGTGTCCAATGAAGGGCCAGATGTATACAAAATGGTGTCGTCTGCGTAGAGGTGGATCTGAGAGTCACCAGCAGCAAGAGCGACATCATTGATATACACGGAGAAAAGTGTCGGCCCAAGAATTGAACCCTGTGGCACCCCCATAGAGACTGCTATAGGTCCAGACAACAGGCCCTCCGATTTGACACACTGAACTCTATCTGAGAAGTAGTTGGTGAACCAGGCGAGGCAGTCATTTGAGAAACCAAGGCTATTTAGTCTGCCAATAAGAATGCGGTGGTTGACAGAGTCGAAAGCCTTGGCCAGGTCGATGAAGACGGCTGCACAGTACTGTCTATTATCAATCGCGGTTATAATATCGTTTAGGACCTTGAGCGTGGCTGAAGTGCACCCATGACCAGCTCGGAAACCGGATTGCATAGCGGAGAAGGTACGGTGGTATTCGAAATGGTCGGTGATCTGTTTGTTAACTTGGCTTTCAAATACTTTCGAAAGGCAGGGCAGGATGGATATAGGTCTGTAGCAGTTTGGATCTAGAGTGTCACCCCCTTTGAAGAGGGTGATGACTGCGGCAGCTTTCCAATCTCTGGGGATCTCAGACGTTATGAAAGAGAGGTTGAACAGACAAGTAATAGGGGTTGCGACAATTTCGGCGGCTAGTTTTAGAAAGAAAGGGTCCAGATTGTCTAGCCCAGCTGATTTGTAGGGGTCCAGATTTTGCAGCTCTTTCAAAACGTCAGCTGTCTGAATTTGTGTGAAGGAGAAGCGGGGGGGGGGGCATGGGCAAGTTTCAGCGGAGGGTGCAGAGTTGGTGGCCGGGGTAGTGGTAGCCAGATGGAAAGCATGGCCAGCTGTAGCAAAATGCTTGTTGAAATTCTCGATTATTGTAGATTTATCGGTGGTGATAGTGTTTCCTAGCCTCAGTGCAGTGGGCAACTGGGAGGAAGTGCTCTTATTCTCCATGGACTTTACAGTGTCCCAAAACTTTTTGGAGTTAGTGCTACAGGATGCAAATTTCTGTTTGAAAAAGTTTGCCTTTGCTTTCCTGACTGCTTGTGTATATTGGTTCCTAACTTCCCTGAAAAGTTGCATATCGCAGGGGCTATTTGATGCTAATGCAGTACGCCACAGGATGTTTTTGTGCTGGTCAAGGGCAGTCAAGTCTGAGGAGAATCAGGGGCTATATCGGTTCTTAGTTCTGTATTTTTTGAATGGGGCATGTTTATTTAAGATTGAGAGGAAATTACTTTTAAGGAACAACCAGGCATCCTCTACTGACGGAATGAGATCTATATCCATCCAGGATACCTGGGCCAGGTCAATTAGGAAGGCCTGCTCGCTAAAGTGTTTTAGGGAGCGTTTGACAGTGATGAGGGGTGGTCGTTTGACCGCGGACCAGTTACGGACGCAGGCAATAAGGCAGTGATCGCTGAGATCCTGGTTGAAGACAGCTGAGGTGTATTTAGAGGGTATGTTAGTCAGGATGATATCTATGAGGGTACCCATGTTTACGGATTTAGGGTTGTACCTGGTAGGTTCGTTGATAATTTGCGTGAGGTTGAGGGCATCTAGTTTGGATTGTAGGATGGCCGGGGTATTAAGCATATCCCAATTTAGGTCACCAAGCAGTACGAACTCTGAGGATAAATGGGGGGCAATCAATTCACATATGGTGTCCAGGGCACATCTGGGGGCTGAGGGGGGTCTGTAGCAATTGACAACCATGGCCATGAACGCCCCAAAAAACAACCTTCCTGTTATTCCTATCACTCTCTATTGGTCTCGGCCTACTCACAGGGATCCTCTTAGGATCCCTCACCCTGGACCCATCTTCCTCTACTACTCTCTTCACTGCCTCAGCATATGACACCTTCTGCACTACTCTGATCCTGGCAACCTCAACCTGCCTTTCTCTCACAGGACACCTCTGATCTCCAACACCATGGGTACAGCTACAGCAGTGGAGGCTGCTGAGGGGAGGACGGCTCATAATAATGGCTGGAATGGAGTAAATGGAATGGCATCAAACCATGTAGTCCCCTGTAGCTCAGTTGGTAGATCATGGCGCTTGCAACGCCAGGGTTGTGGGTTCGTTTCCCACAGGGGGCCAGTATGAAAATGTATGCACTCACTAACTGTAAGTCACTCTGGATAAGAGTGTCTACTAAATGACTAAAATTTAAAAATTTAAAATGTGTTTGATGTATTTGATACCATTCCACAAATTCCGCTCCAGCCATTACCACAAACGTGTCCTCCCCAATTAAGGTGCCATCAACCTCCTGTGCCCTACAGTTTACACACACATTTCCCCACTGATACTACACATTCCTTTGTCTAATTAATGTCCTCCTGCACACTTTTCACATCTAGGAATCTCCCCCCTACACAATGCTGCCACAATACCATAAGCTTGACACCGTAATGGATTCGGGAATAAATCTCTCACGGCTCTTAATGCCACTCCAGTAATCACTCCTTTCAACGGCACCCTGTTCCGGAGAGGAAAGCAAGTCACAGTTCTTATCTCCAGTCACGTGGTGCGTGCGGAGCGCACTCTCCCTCTGGACGGCAGAAACGAAAATAATCTACACGATTCCACTTTGAGTCAATTTCACCAACCTAATATTCCCCAAACTGACACCCCATATGGATTAGCCAGAAGGCAAGGATCCATTCTCTCCAAAAACCTCTCCCACTGGGCCAAAATCATATTTATCACCATCGGGATGAGGCTCAAACTCGGCTGTCTTCACCGCACCTGCCACCGCAGTTAATTCATCCGCACTCTCGTCATGTTAATTTTCCTTCTGCAGCACTCCATATTTACTCTTAATATGTTCCCCTTTCTTCCATTTTTCCCTGCCCACCTTCTTACCGATCTCTGTGGGTTCCCCTGACTCCATCTCCAAATCCGACAACTATTCGGGCTCTCGGTCGCTGTTCTTTCGCCTTCATCCGGACAGGGTTCCGGTTTGGAAGCACGCTTTTGACTACACCTACAGTATTGCTTCGGTACTGCAGTTTAACTGATTAATGGCTGAGAAAGACAATTCCTTTTGATGGCCCCATAGAGAAGTCAAATGTGAAAATTCCTAATAAGACACTTTAGTCATCACCTTTGTCCACAAAACATCCATTGAATTATTGAAATTATTGTCGCCGAGGCTGATTTTTGTTTTTTTCATCACTCACAGCTGAAGATATAACATTTTTATATTAATGCTCTGAGGTCATGACCCCAGCCAGCCAGGGGAAGTGCCGGTTGGCTTGTTTAGCTGTCCACGTGCTCTGACAGAGTTCCCGGAGCATGTTTGCACGATATGGCTGTGTCTAGTGCGCACTGAGCGCATCCGGAGCAAGCCCAGTAAGAAATGGCGTGTGCGAACGTGAGTAGATTACGTTGAAAACAAAGGTTGGCCATCTTGGAGGCAGTCTCTAGTTAAGCAATAAGGCCCGAGGGGGTGTGGTATATGGCAAATATACCACGGGTAAGAGCTGTTCTTAAGCGCGATGCAACGCTATATACCACAAACCCCCGAGGTGCCTTATTTCTATTATAAACTAGTTACCAACGTAATTAGAGCAGTAAAAATAAATGTTTTGTCATACTGTGGTATACGGTCTGATATACCATGGCTTTCAGCCAGTCAGCATTCAGGACTCGAACCATCCAGTTTATAATGTCTAATATACCACAGCTTTCAGCCAATCAGCATCCAGGAGCCAAACTACCTGGTTTATAATGAAGCAATAAGGCCCGAGGAGGTGTGGTATATGCTATAAGGGCTGTTCTTAGGCACGACGCAAAGACGCATTCAGGGCTCAAACAATTCTTATTCTACCTCAGTGGTTATACTGATGGTTTGTCGAGACTGTGATGGTTTGTACGGTTGTGGCTACCGGTATATGTCCATCTAGTTGTCGCATTGGGTGATAACAGTTGACAACTGTAGCATTTTAGCTAAGCATAACCCTAACCCTGGATCCTAACCTTCACCTCATTCTTTTAACCTGCTATGATAATTCTCCTAACCTGCTGCGTTAGTTCTCCTAAGTAACCTCCTATGTAAAGTCACTTCTGTCCGTAGCTGGGTTAGGCTTGATTAAATAAAAAAAAAAAGTATATGAATGCAGAAAAACACCACTCACAAACCAGATAGTCAGATTCAATTTTTTCAAACCTATTACAAAATCCTCCTATCTTCAAGGAGATTTGTTTGCTAGCTAGCTTTCAAAAGTTGTATGTAAATTAAAAATGTTTGTGAAGCTGTATGATAACATTTTATGATAACATTTTATCTATCACTCCTAAAACGCTTTGATACTGTTTAATAATCTCTTGTAGTTACTGCAGTCTGCAGATAGATATTATTGGTCTATTCTGGGGTCGCGAGTACTATCATCACACCGGCCAGTTAGAGTCCACCTGCAGTATGTGTGTGTGTGTACCAGCCAAGTGTCAGGAATGTAGAGGATTGTGTGTCATATCATATGACTGAGTTTGCCATTGTTTGTTGACAGTGTCCTGTCCAGTTTTCCATCCCCCTTGCCAGACCCCGCAATGCCGGGGTGTGTGTCATCAAACAGACAGAGGTTATTATCAGAACTCATTGCCACACTGTGAACCAGTGTGTGTGTTACATCATTATAGGGCTCTAAGCCACAGATAAGGTTTACAGATAGAGAGGAGGAGGGAGGGAGGGACAAGGTGGGGTTACTTTTACTTAAAGTGTATGTGATTGTCACTGCCCTTTCACTCACTTGCTCACACTCAGGGACTCAATTAGGCTTGTACATAGGCTACTCATTTTCTCTGCACACAGAAGCAACAGGGTAATGATGACCCAAACCCTCCAGAATGGCTTCAGTCTGGAGAACCGCTACCTCCAGGATCTGAAGGGGCCTCTATTTGTCCCTCTGCCTGCTCAGGGTGCTCAGATCCTGGGTGTACGCCGGGGGTCAGGCCCTGTGGAGCCCCATAAGGACCAAGAGATCCAGAGGCATTGGTCTGGCACCGTACCTGCTCAGGGTGATTCTCTCCTGGGCTCATGTCGTGGGCAGACCCCTGCTCCTATAGACGTCCAGATGTGCCAGTCTATCCAGCCATGCCATGCCGATCACCAAGGAGACCTGAGTGCTGGGCAGCTACTCAAATGGATGGACACCATCGCATGCCTCGCTGGTCAGTGTGTGTGTGTGTGTGTGTGTGTGTGTGTGTGTGTCTGTGGTGCCTTGCAAAAAAGATAGACGAGTAGACCTAAAGTGCATGGAGAGTCTGAAGTTTCAGACAGTTTTTGGTCTGCTATTCCCATCTTTAGCTAAATACATGTATCAGGTGGAGAGTTTTTTTCTCTGGTGTAAATGCTGAGTAAATGTGAATGTGTAAGAAGACAGAGCCCGGGAACAGTGTTAGAGGACAAACATACAGGAATAGAAGCGGAAAAGACGTCAGGGGTAGTGTCTGCCACCTCACACACACACACCGACTCCATTACACAAAGGGGTGTGTGACAGAGCTGACCTTAAGTGGCCATCACTGGACAGACAGGGTAACAGCAGTGCACTGACCCCTCACCTACTAGCATTCTCCTAGAGGTGTGTGTGTGTATGTCTATGCACATTAACACATAAAGAGATTTGTGTTATCCCCCATGGAGGATGTTAATGATTGTCATGTCGCTGTAATCGTGGTACTGCCCCAGTTGGAGAGATTAAATATAGATAAATATATAGATAAACAGTGTGTGTATGTGTTTGTCCCTTAGCTGAACGTCATGCTGGGATGGCGTGTGTGACACTCTCCATGGACGACATCCAGTTTGAGGAGACTGGCAGGTACGCATCAATCAATCAATCAATACATCAATCAATCAAATTCATATATAATGTTTTAAATATTTAGAATGTTGTTTGCAGGGTTGGTCAGGTGATCACCATCAAGTCCAAAGTCAATAGAGCGTTCACCACTAGCATGGAGGTAAGACTACACACACATACGCATTTACACATGCATGCCTGTACACAATGTTTATTTTACATTTTTAGGTACAATATAAAAATTGTGTTTGTGTGTATGTAGGTGGGAATCCGTGTGTCGGTGCAGGATGTGAGGGAACGTGTGGAGAGGTTGGTGTGTGTGGCCTACTCCACCTTTGTTGGAAAGCCAGCGGGACCACAGAAGGTGGTGTTGCAGCCAGTGGAAAATCTGTGTTCTGCAGAGGAGCAGCTGCAGCATTCTCTGGCCACAGAGAGACGAAGACTCCGCCTCTACAACGAACAGACGTTCAGTTCCCTGCTACAAGACTACCACGCACTAGCCAACGGTCAGTCTCTCTGTCTCTCTAACCCTCTCTCTCTTATCTCATTCTCACTCTCATCTTGTGTGTGTGTGTGTGTGTGTGTGTGTGTGTGTGTGTGTCAGCCTAGGATTATGTGTCCTAATCTGTAGCTTTACTTGATTTATCTTGTCCTGAAAGGATCTTTGTCATATTGAGACTCATGTTCAAGGGGAAATTATAAACAAATAAATACATTTTTTGCTGATATAGAGGAGGGATCGAGAGAGTCTGTTTGGTACAGGTCTCTGGCGTGTAATGCTCTTTGTCAGATGCACATGATGAGGCAACTTACATCTCTGTCTGAGGGCTATAGCTGAGTTGGTGATTAGATGTACTAGATGTGTAATTGCATATTTTTTGAATCCCCATGTCTGTACCTGTTCCTCCCCAGGAAACGGTTCTGCCCCAGGTGTGTGTAGCAGGAGAGACCAGTTGTCTGCCGTGTCCACAGAGTTAACGCGTGCAGAGAGCATCGAGCTGGTCCTGCCTCCACATGCTAATCACCATGGCAACACCTTTGGAGGACAGATCATGGCTTGGATGGAGAATGCAGCCACAGTGGCAGCCAGGTACCCTCTATCTAGAACCTAAAAGGGTCCTATGGCTGTCCCCCTTTCTACAGAGGGTGCTACATGAAACCCAAAAGGGTTCTAGGGAAAGGGGTATACCTAGTCAGTTGTACAATTGAATGCATTCAACTGAAATGTGTCTTCTGCATTTAACCCAACCCCTCTGAATCAGAGAGGTGCGGGGGGCTGCCTTAATCGACATCATCGGCGCCTTGCTCAGAGGCAGAATGACAGATCTTTACCTTGTCAGCTCGGGGATTCGATCAACAACCTTTTGGTTACTGGCCCAACGCTCCTACCCGCCAGGCTACCTGGAAACAAAAAGGGTTATTCTATGGTAGGGGGAGGCAACCCTGTTCCTGGAGTGCCGCAGGTACTGCAGGATTTTGTTCCAACTAGGCACCACACCTGACCAACTGAGCTAATTGATCAGTTCAGTGATTGCCTAAATTCAACACACCTGGTCTTCCAGGTTGGTTAAATCAAAAACACTGCGGCACTCCAGGACCACCCCTGTCCTATGGGGACAGCCGAAGAACCCTTTTGGAACCCTTTTTTCTAAGAGTGTAGGTACACACACCCTACTAACCCTCTCTCTGTCTCTCTCTTCAGTCGTCTGTGTGGCTGCTTCCCCTCTCTGAGGTCTGTAGACATGTTCCGCTTCAGAGGTCCCTCCTCTGTAGGAGACAGACTGGTCTTTAAGGCTGTGGTCAACAACACATTTAACAACAGGTAACATGTCTAGTCATATGAATTCCCTTTCAGATAATGGAATCCTATGGAAATGTTATTAGCACAGTATTTAAAATGTGTGTGTGCCTGTGTGTGTAGTATCGAGGTAGGTGTCCGAGTGGAGGCCTACAACTGTGAGGAGTGGACCGCGAACAAACCGCGTCACATCAACAGTGCCTTCCTCATATACCAGCTGGCTAACACACCTGGAGACGCACCTGCCTTCCCCCAAGTCACATACACCAGCCAGGACGGGGAGAGGAGATACATGTCTGCCATCGTAAGGAAGAGAATACGTATGGCTGGAAAGCACATCCTGTCCTGTAAGGAGGAGGCTCCTATCTCTGTCCCCTGGGATAAAAGCAACCAGGTACTACAACCATGTAATGGACATGACACTATGAGCACTCATCATTCTAGCTAAGCTAGCCTTGTACCTGACTGTTTTTGCATTCAACCACATTGCTGCCTTGCCAGATGACAAGTTGGCTAAAGCTGAGATACACTTTTAGTTCATTGTTATTATTTCCCCACTGACTGTCTGCTAGTGATGCGCGGGTCAGCTATTTGTTTACCCGCAGCCACTCGCTATTGCTAATAACCCATCTGCAACCGCCCGACTATATGTGTTGAAGTGAAAATCTGAGACCCGCACCCTACCCTAACCAGCAAATATAGAAAATGTGCTGTGCAGTTCCCTTTTATGACTTGCCATATTTGAAGTCCCCGTCTCCTGACAGACAAATTTGTATAGCGCCTCACAATCATCACACAGCTATCATCCTCTTTTACCAGTTCACCACATCTTTCTGAAACATTGCTTTTCTGGCCCTCCTTTATCTTTATTTTCAACTCTCTATTTTGCGGCTTTTCTCTTATTGAATTAAACTCCGACATTGTCCTTTTTGCCTAGGTGAATCGACGTTAATGTTTTCTGGCCAAGTTCCCAAAAGCATTTGGTGATTGGTGTGTAGGCCTATTTGGCCCAAAGTAGGCCGTAAAGCTTAGACTTATGCGCTAATGGACAGATTTTAAAAAAATGAGAAGAAAAAACTCAATATAGCCTATAGATATGAAAAACACAAGAACTATGGATTTTAATATTCATTGTTTTCTCTTTATACAACCCCGCCCGCCCTTCATCCACACAATATTTCATGACCCTAAACCCACCCGCCCCACGGATAGAACCACAGGGACTGTGGGTTATGAGTCAACCCACACATCACTACTGTCTGTCTCCTATCGTCCCCTGCAGGTGTATCTGGGCTATAACAATGTAGCAGCTCTGACTGTACTGGCTGGGAAACAAGACTGGGAAGCCAGCAGCATCTGTGACAGGGTGAGAAACACACACAAATGCATGAATGGAGACATTATATGGCAATTTTGTAAAGGAGATTCTCTGTCTTTTTTTGCTTTTAGTTTCCTTACCCTGTTTTGTGTTTGTGTCCCCAGATCTGTGTGTATGTCCATGAGGAGGAGCTGCTTTGTGTCCAAGTTCAGATGGAGGTCATGACCTCTGCCCTCCATGCCTTCACCCTATTGGCTGACCTCACACTGCGACCTCTTTGGGACACACACTACCTGTAAGTCACCTGTAAATTCAATACCATTCCATTCCAGCCATTACTATGAGCCCGTCCTCCCCAATTAAGGTGCCACCAGCCACATTATGTATGAGTGACAGAGCTTTATGTTCATTAAACTAACTTAACCTTTAACCTTTCACACCCCCTTCTCCCTGTAGGAGCTGCGAGGAGGTAGAGAGGGCCGATGAGGAGGAGACGGTGTACCACATTAAATGCCCCCCCATCAATGGAGGCAAGAGCCGAGACTTTGTGTTCCTATTGTCAAAGAGACAACCCTGCAAAGATGGGTAAGGTTTCCTTCAGAACACACGTCAAACTCATTCCACGGAGGGCGAAGTGTCTGTGGGTTTTCACTCCACCCTTGTACTTGATCGATGAATTAAGGTCACTAATTAGTAAGGAACTGGTTTTCTAGGTCTTAATTGAAAGGAAAAACCAAAGACCCACAGACATTCGGCCCTCCGTGGAATGAGTTCGACACGACCGCTTTAGAAGAATGTGTGTGTTCCTGTTCTATAGTGGAGATTTCTGTGATCTTTCTGATTTCTGTTAACCATATGTGTGTGTTTTGTCTTCTACAGGGACCCCTATGTGGTGGCCCTGAGGTCTGTAACCGTGAAAACAGTTCCCCCTGTGGAGGGTTTCCTCCGTAGCGAGGCCAAGTGTGCCGGGTTCCTTATCCACAGCCTGGGACTCAACAGCTGCAGGGTGAGGCTTACACACAAACACTGCAGAGGCCATTAATACGCACAGTATAACTTTTTAGCTTTCATTGTCTTCATTAGCCCTCACAATTCATATAAAATGTGTTAACCATGTGTACATGTGTTCCAGGTGTGTTACTACAACCAGGTGACGTCAGGTGTGTTGCCGTATGTAGCAGGTAACCTGGCAGGCTGGTCTAAGTCTATGGAGGAGACAGCTAGTGCATGTACCACCTTCCTTGAGAGAGATCTCATCACTAGCGTCTTCTGACACACACTAACCCTGAGCCTATGATGGATGAATTGATACTGTCTGGAGACTCATGATTCTAACGAGACAAAACATGTCTCTAGTGGCTGCTAATACAGGTGTTAAATTTACAACGGTGTTACCGAATAACCCAAAATGTCTGATGTTTATGTAACAACAAAATGTAGCTCATGTATGTAATGTAGGTCTTATTTATTAAATGTTGCTATAAATATTTCAGATGTTGATGTGAGTGAATGTGCAGTAATAACGATACTCAATGACAAAACGTATTCTGTAAATAGCAAATAAACCTATATTTTTTTACCTTTGTTTCTCTTTGACACCTGAGGATGTATGGATAGAGTATACCACTAAACACACAGGATACAGGGCTACCGAGATATAAACACACATCTTTAGGCTCCAGTCCATTCTAGTCTAGTCCCATCCATACGAATCATTTCCAGTCCTACACACAGAGTCCATGGTGTGAGACCACAGAGAGCGCTTTCCAATATGGCAGTCAAGAGAAGCTCTCCATTTTCCCTGACTATGGATGTTGTTTTTCATAGCTCTGAGAGAAAACAATGACAGAATGAAAGCCCTTCATGGATATAAGTCTTGGGATGTGTAGTTTGGACAATACTGACAACCAAAGAGCAATCTGGTGAGTCCTCTGAGTGGATTGGCAGGTCAGAAGACCACTACCTTGGCCTGTTTGGGCGGGGCTTTCTTCACAGGCACATGCACTTCCTCGTGGTCAGCACTCATGTTATTGGACAGCCAGCCCAAGGTCACTTGGTTAGCTACAGGGGGAATTGGACAAACACACGTCAGTCACATAATATCTTGGACCGCATAAAAGACTAACTGTACAGAGCGTTCAGATAGAAATAGAACATACAAGGATGTTCAGATAGAAATATATTGAATGGAAATGACAAGAGGGATGTTCATACAGAAATGTAGTGTATTGAACCATTTTTGGTTTACAAACAGACGTCACATTCAAGTGATGCAGGCCAAAAAGCTCTGTAGCAGGATAGCTAACGCTAAAGTCAGGAACTTGACAAACTTAACAGTGAGTGAATGATGACCGTGAAAACACATAAAACTGATGGCTATAGCTATGTTCAAGTTTATTGTTCTTCTGTATTTATCTAGCTCTATTTGTGATATTTTACCATGCCTCACTGGCTTGCTAGTTAATAAATCCTCTGATTTGTTAACTTGCATGAGCTGCATTTGAAGTTGCATGTGATCGAATCCACTGTTAGGTAAACAAAGCTTTTTCTGAATCTGTAATGCGTGCGCAACTTTTCATGACGCGGCAGGGAAATGGGTCTGTTGAACAGACAATCCTGATGTAGAATAGAGAGATGGATCCTGGTTACTCACATGCAGCCTGGTGCTCAGGACAATCCTTCTGGAAGTGTTCTACTGAACCACACACACGACAACAACCTCCTACAGACAGAAAGGGAGGAGACAATGTTATGGATTCTCAGTTTGATTTATTAGCAGAGTTCAGTATTGTGAGCGTGCATGTGTGTGTTGTACCTGCGGCGTACAGTCCTTTGGGGTTGTCAGGGCAGGACCTGGACAGGTGACCAGTCTTACTACAGATGAAACACTTTGCATACGGGTATTCACCTGAGAGAGAGAGAGAAAAAAAAAACTAACATCAAATCAAAATGTATTGGTCGTGTACACAGTTTAGCAGATGTTATAGCGGGTGCAACGAAATGCTTATGTTACTAGCTCCTAACAATGCAGTATAATGTCAAACAGGTACACAAATAATCAATATATATATATATACACACACTGAACAAAAATATAAATGCAACATGTAAAGTGTTGGTCCCATGTTTCATGAGATGAAATAAAAGATCCCAGAAATGTTCCATATGTATAAAAATATTATTTATCTCAAATTTTGTGCACAAATTTGTTTATATCCCTGTTAGTGAGCGTTTCTCATTTGCCTGGATACCTGACCGGTGTGGCATATCAAGAAGCTGATTAAACAGCATGATCATTACACAGTTGCACCTTGTGCTGGGGACAATAAAAGGCCACTAAAATGTGGTTTTGTCCCACAACCCAATGCCACAGATGTCTCAAGTTGAGGGGTAGTGCACAATTGTCATGCTGACTGCAGGAATGTCCACCAGAGCTGTTGCCAGAGAATTGAATGTTCATTTCTCTTCCAATGTTGTTTTAGAGAATTTGGCAAATATACGTCCAACCGGCCTGACAACACCAGACCACGTGTAACCACACAGCCCAGGACCTCCACATCCGGCTTCTTCACCTGCGGGATCGTCTGAGACCAGCCACCCGGATAAAGCCATTTTGTGAGGAAAATCTCATTCTGATTGCTGGGCCAGGCTCCCCAGTGGGTGGGCCTATGCCCTCCAAGGGCCACCCATGGCAGCACCCCTGCCCAGTCATGTGAAATCCATAGATTAGGGCCTAATGAATTCATTTCAATTGACTGGTTTCCTTATATGAACTGAAACTCAGTAAAATCGTTGAAATTGTTCCATGTTGCATTTATATTTTTGTTCAGTACAGAAATAAAAACAATCGGAACGAATCTAAATCGAATTAGAGAACACAACCAGGAGTCAGGACACCAGACAACACACACACACACACCTAGAGCAGGATCGATTTTAGCGCGGCAGCGTTGGATCTCGTGTTCTGTGGATCCACAGCGGTAGCAAATATCCCTCCCCATCTCCTCGTCTCTGTCCGCCTCCGGACAGTCAGCCAACCCGTGGCCAGGCTTCCTACAGTTAAAACACACCTGGTGAGGGGGAGAGACAGGGGGAGAGAGAGGGATAGGAAAGAAGGAAGAGATATGAGAGTAAGACAACATCACAAGGTTGAGTGTCACTATTATTAGCAACATTGGAAACTTAGTCACTCTACCCTTGATCTCTGCCCATCTTACTCACCATGTTGCTCTTCTTGTCATCCTGTCTCTTTATCCTCCTGTCCTCTCTCCTTCTGTCTTTCTTCAGGGCTGTCTCTACCTCTTCCCTGAGTCCCTCCATCCCTCCCCCCATCCCTGCTCCGCCACCTCGCCTGGACGTTCCCGCCCCGCCACTCTGAAGGTACTCCATGAAGCCGTTCACATCCTCATTGTCGTAGTCTTTCTTCTTCCGACAGGGCTTCTTAATCCCAGCATCGCCAAGCTGCGTTCGCCTCAGAGGGTCTCCCCCTCCTCCCCTCCCTCTCCCCCAACCCCCAGGACCATGGCTAGCACCTCCTGAACCTCCAAAAGAGCCTGGACGACCACTCCCTCCGCCTGCTCCTCCATCTCTTCCTCCACCTCCCCCTCTTCCTCTGCCCCCTCCTGTTCTAAGCTGGCTCCAGGGTGTTGCCTCAGCAGGTTTGTGTTTGTGAACGTTGTTGGCTCTGGCCCATCGCGTCATTGCTGGAACACCTGGGGTACACATATTGAGAGATATGAGGGAGATAGATGAGAGAGATGGAAGGAGAGAAAGAACCATTAGGGACTCGGGAGTATGGTGAAATTGCCCCTAGACTGATCTAACAAAAGCAGTGGTCATTCATCTCAAAATACAGATTGGTAAATATAAATATGTATCTAATACCTTTAACTTCAGTTTCATGTATACACATTAACTGCTCAGCTATAAAAATATTGGATAGGATTGAGGCTACAAATACATTTGCTAGCTAGATAACGTGAATAGTTGCTAGCATGGCTAGTTGACAGTGGTTAGCATTGCTCTAAGAGTCCTTTTTAGCGGAGTTATGAACAAAATCTGTGCGAAATATATTCGCAGAAATTCAGAAACTGATTAATTCAGTTAAATAATGTGATCATAATATATTTATCTCTTATAAACTCACCTAAAGCGCAAAGCTATCGCTGCGACATGTGTTTACTGTTTAATCGGAAGCCACATTCTTCTTCTTCTTCCTTGGGTGGAAATGACAGGAAAATAACTCGAGAGACGCTTAGCGCCATCTGTTGTTGAGGTTGAGAACTTATAATAGCAAGTGATCACACCTGCACCTATTCTTTCGTGATTGCTGCCCCGCCCACTCTTTGACGGGAAGTAGAGCAAGTGCACGAATTTGTTTGTGCAGTTGCTTTGGTTCTTTTCTCCCAAATCCTGGTGTGCAATCGTTGTTGCACCATGCTTTGGCGTCTGATTTGTATCTGGATTGTCCAAAGTAGGACCAGATTCATTTGTTACATTCTCTCTTTTGACTGTTTTCCATTTGATGTAGGCCAGCCCTGCAAACGCCCACTGGTTCACCATGTTATTGTGCAGTCCCTTTTTATGTAGTGTTTCCCTTCTGTATTTCAGTGGGTGGTGTTCCCATCGACTATTCCACAAATACTTTCCCTGCCACAGGTAGGCCTCCTTTGGGGACCAGTCATTTCGTTATGTGATAGGTAGGTCTATTATCAGTTTTCCAATTTGTGGCCAACCCCACTGCAAAACCATGTTATTGTACTGTACATTTATTTCTGTATTTCAGTGGACAATTCTACAAACCCCAACAATTCGACAAACGCTACTCTCTGCCACAGGTAGGCCTGTAATTAGCTATAAAAAAAGATTGCCTAGTCAGACATTACTCTGTTCCAGCTGGCTGATGGGCGTTGTTAAATATGTTCTGTTTGACATAACACAGGGAATTTTCGACCAACCTTAACTTGTCGATACTAACTCAAAACCTTATTGGAAGACAACCAATGTCTAGTTACAGGGAATTTGTTTGAATTCATAAAATGCGCCTTTATTAAATTAAATACATGTTTTGCTCCATAAAGTAATCCAACAATGTGAATGGCGCCATCTTGTCTATTTCAAACATTCTCTCATTGAGACAGGTGGGTGTCCACCCCAAAGTGGCTCATGTCATGATGACAGACACTCCCCTGTCGGAGTCACCGGAGTCCCGACATCCATAGGCAGGGTGTGAGTTTCATGTTTTGTGGAAGCACTTTTTTATAACCATACATTTCACCTTTATAATAAAGGATTGCATGTATAGGTTTAGCTGAACTGATGCCACTGCTTATTGGTGATATGCAGTCTCTATTTTTAAGCAAGGTACCTTTTTATTAATGTAATTTATCCGTTAATCTGACATTGTAGAAGTAGTACCACAACCTGTCCAGTAGATGGCAAGTTGGAGGCCTGTTCAATACACTGAAACTCGATTGTGATCTTCATATTGTGGTATCTGGATCAGAATGATCCTACCCGATTATTTTCTGAAAAAACAGCTCAAAAACAGCCAGGTTGATCTGATCCTGGAAAAGGCAAAAAAAAGAGGATTACAGAATCCGGCTCATTCGGATCCAGATAACAAGTTTTGAACAACCAGGCTGTCTTATTTGCTAAACAAAATGTTGTAACATAACTCGCCCAGTAGATGGCAATATAGAGACCTTTCCAAAGCAACAAAATCTGGATTCTTGACATTGCGGTAACTAGATCAGAATGATCCTATCTGATTTATTTTCTGAAAAAACAGCTCAAACAGCCAGATTGAGCTGACCCTGGATAGCAAAAGAGGATTACAGAAATTGGATCATGATGATCCCCAAAAGTTTAGAAAAACCAGCCCGTGCGCATCGTAGTGTCTGTGGTTGTTATAGACCTACTCTTCCTGTTAGAGGAATTTTGACCATGCTGTCCAAGAGGTTACCTAATAAATCAGACTGATACCAATTCTTGGTATACAGTCTCAAACAAAACACTGCAAAATTGTGGATATTTTCCTTACAAGCCAGAATGTTGAATGAAATTACATTTGAACTTACTCTAAAAATACCCACAGGAAAGAAAGTATTGTTGACCCAACTGTTTAGAGTGCCTGTACTGAAGTTGAAATTTCTATCATCTGGCACATGCGCAAAACCATGTAAACACCTGTTGGTATGCGTGCATGTGCCTTCGGTCATGAGCAAACATCTTGATTGCCACACACACAGACCCATGTTTTGAAGTCTGTTTAATGATACTTTCCTGTGGATATTTTCTCAAATTTCAACCAGCTGAAGGACCAATGGCACAGACAATCGGCAGAGTAAGTTCAAATATAATTTTATTCAACATTTGTGACAGATGAGGGAAGGTTAGTTTTTTTTCTATGCAATGTGCGTGGCATTGCCTACACAATTGAAGGGATTGCCAAGTTTTGTGACTATCCAGGAGGGAGACATTCTGATTTTGGTGAGTCTATGATCCGTGCTGTCTAGGTCCTGTGCTACTGCGTCTTTGTTTTGAAATACCATAGAATTTGTTGCCTCTGCTCTGCTGCCTAGCTATTTGGCCAAGTTAAAGGTATAAATCACCATTAATTGAAGTCGTCTCTCCTGCTATCTCTTGCCCTACTACATCTCTGATCTCACCTCAGGCTGTATGATGAGCATAGCTGAGAAGGACTATCATAGAATTAAATAGAGTAGAATAACAATTGAATGCGTCTCTGAAGCCTATTCTCTAGTGACAGCTGGATTTAAGATGAGATGTTGATTTGTCTTACAGGAAGACAGATTAGCTGTGCAGTCACACTGGCCGAAGATGGATGGCATCATCTCTATCCTATACGAGATCTGCGACAGTCTGGGTTGAGTGTCTAATACAGTAGGCGAGATGAACGCCGTTAAAAAAAAAAAAAAAACATTTGCATAATACAGTGGGAAAGATATGCACCGTTTAATGGTAGATTGTCTGTGAGCCACACAGTAGGCAGAAAGAACTATCCAAGCAGCATTCAAGATGATCTCAGACCGGACATGTATCCGCATCCACGAATACACCAACGAGATGAACTACATACAGATCCTCTCTGGGAGAGGATGAGTCCAGAAGACTGATACGAAACAAAATGGGATCGTTAACTAATTCTCTACATCCCAGCAGTTTACAATTAACCCACAACTTCCCCCGATCTTTTCCTCTGTGTTCAATCCTTTCTTTTTTTCACTCTTCCCGTCCTTCTATCCCCTTCCTCCTTTTCATTTCTCTACTTCCCCTATAATTTCCCCTTCTAACTTTTTGTCTTCCTTTGCTTACCCCTCTAGCTTTGCGTCGTATGTAGGTTTTCAGGGCGGGGTCCAGCCTGTGTACTTCGGTAGCACCTGTAAGGTGGGGAACCTGTGCCATGAGCTTCTGCATACCCATGGAGCGTTGCAGTGTGTGGGCTTTTGTACCAGCCCGGAACGAACACACCTGATTCAGCTTTTTGTTGTCTAGATTGAAGACCGTATAGGAGACTATTGAGATCTGCCTCCTGTTACTCTTGCTTTGTCTTCCAGGAAAAGAGATGAACTTCAAGGTGAAAAAAGGAGACACTCAGAACCTGCCCTATGACTACAATACCATCATTCAATACGGACCGTCAGTCACACTCCTATATTCCTCTCCTTATTCCCACTAAAGTCCTCATTTTACTCACCTTGTTTTTATAAACTGCCAGCAGTAAGTAAAGATGAGTTTTCCTGGGCCTGTGTGTACAGTATGCAGTTCCAGTAACATTTCCATTTGTGTCCTAAATGACTTCCCTATTTAGTGCACTAATTTTGACCAGTGCCAATGGGGCTCTGGTCAAACTTGGTGAGCTATATTGGGAATATAGGGTGCCATTTGAGACGCATGCCGTGTGTTAAAGGAGCAAGTCCTCTAACCCTCCCTTGTTGCGTTTCTCCTGGCAGGTATTTCTTCTCAGCAGACCGGAACCCCACCATTGTCCCCAAGAAGGGTGGAGTCCATATGGGACAGAACTGACCTGAGCTCCCTGGACATAACACGCCTTAACGAACTCTACCACTGTGGTAAATACACACACACAGACAGGCAAAATATCAGAATTGGGCTGCCTGTGTAAACGCAGCTATTATCACACTGTATTCTCACCATGTTCCTGTCCCGTCTTTCTCAGAAGAAACAACACACTGATGACACCAACAGTGAAGATTCCAGGTCTGATAACACCGATGTCGACTCAAATTTCCCACCCAAGTAGCACCGCCATCTCACTTCTCTTCACAATGAATAAGTTAGACAACACGTGCCTCAAAGCTTTCAGATGATGATGATTATGTACTGTCATCTGTCTGGCTGCAGGCAGTAATGGTTGCTGCCTGCCATTAGGCCTATACCACTGCACTACTCTTGCTGATAAATACAATTACCTGGACTGAAATGAATCTGTTTACTGTGATGTTGATTTCAACAAAGATCTGAACAAAGTTCACCGATAAATACCTTTTTTTGTGTATTTTACCATGTTTTCTACGTTATGTGAATAATGAATAAACATGTACATTCAGAGTATTGAAGTAAGTGGCTAAGGAGACAACTTTTTTGGACCCCTGTTCCCGACATCTAAAGATCCCAAGGCTTCTGCGCATGTGCTGTATTCTCTACTTTACGCACAGTCTCTGCTCTACTCCTAGAGAACAGGCTACTCTAGCGAATTGTCCTGGTTTAATAAAGTTAGATAAAAGCTGAATCAATGTCTGCAAGAACACATTAGCTATATTGCCATGAACTTGTCCAGAGATATTCATTTTTTTTGGGGGGGGGGGGGTCGACATTTAAGAAAGTTCACAAAGAAAATGGATGCAACTATTGCCTGCTACGGTGCATTTCAATTTAAGTATCTTGTGTCGATTAAAAAACTGCTGAACGTAATGACGTCACACCACGGTGTTGAATAAAAATTAAGTGGTTGAAGTGTTTCCATTACCCATTTGGGCAAATTGCACATTATTTGGCGACAGCCTGTATTCCCTCCCACCTATCTGTTTCATGTCTCCAACAGCCAGCATGGATAGAATGCAATTTTATTTACTAATTTGCCATATTCTAATAATTAATGTGCCAATGTATCTCCATGGTGAAACTTGCACTCATGTAGATCTGAAATAATTGGATGTTGAAACTTGCATTCACCCAACCAGAAAAGCAAGGCGAAGCAATTCAGGCATTCTTGAAAGTCAGGACAATCCTTGTCCTGCCAAAAAACAATTTTTATAGTAAAAAAAAAGTGGAGTGGAGCTTTATAGTTACGTGATGTCTTCCAGGCCACCAGGGTCCGGTCGGAACATCTTAGCCACAGAACAATGAGCCAGATATTTTACCGGATGTATAAGTGTGAAGCATCCATTTGGCGTTTCCACTCACTACCAAATATGGTGATGAGAGGAATCCAGTGGCTGGCAGTGGGAGAAGACGGAGCGAGATGGATTTTGGCCGACATTATGCAAAATGTCTTAGCGACAGGAATCATTTGAGCTCAAAGTTTTCTGTTTCCAAAACTAGAATCGGTTATGAACAGAGTGGACTATGTTTTGTAGATTTTACCCTGTGCCAAAGTAAAAAAAAATGGCATTGTTTAGGAGTGCAAAGGCGAATTGAGTTATTGCACACACGTACTTCACAGAGTAGGCGTTCCCTAACGGAAATATGCAAATACATGCTAGACCGCGCCAATAGGATATACAGTAATCCCTCGTTTATCGCGGGGGTTACGTTCCGAAAATGACCCGCGATAAGTGAAATCCGCGAAATAGAAAACTTTTTTTTTTTACAATTAGCAACTATTACATGTATACAAATACAGTGACTCACGTGTAGGCCGTTTCACTGCTCTTCAGACTGGGCCGCTGCATCCTGACTGCGCTCTGCAGTGTTCTCTTCTTCTGAAGCCCGCGGTGCAGGTGTGTTTGTTCGGGAGAAGAACATAGTGATAGGCAGCTGTTGTCGCTCTTTTTTCTTCTTTGCAAAAAGATCCTTGTACACCGACATGCCACCATCGATTACGTTGGAGAACTGTAATGAACGGCTCATCAAAGGGTCCCATTCCTCAGCTACTCGCTTAAGTTCAGTGGCCATTCGCACCATGGTTGCTAAGCGACCAAGCGTTAGTCCTTCCTCCTCATCTCTCGTGTCCTCTTCTCCCTCTTCTCTTTCATCGTCGCTTTGTGGCTTTGTCATTTACCTTCCCTTAGCATGTCCAGAAGTTTAACTTTATCTGAGATAGGTAGCATCTTCCGCCGTTTGGGCCCATCCGCAGGTGCTTTTGTCGGTCCAGGCCGTTTCGTCGACATTATGGGTTTAGGAGATGTTCGAAATTACAAGATAATTTGGCCAACTTAATGTAAATTTGCCAAGCTGTTTTATGTACGTACACATAACTGCACGAGACGACAAAATGATAGCACAATTCGTAGCATGTTTTGATACAAGAAGCGGGAGTGAGTTTTTAGCGAATCAGAATGCAGAGCACAATGCACCAAAAAAAAAAAAATGCATTATGAAAATCCGCGAAATAGCGAATCCGCGATAAGTGAACCGCGAAGTGGCGAGGGATCACTGTAATATATAAATATATAATATATAATCTCGCTAGCTCGTGCTTGCCTCTGCCCCCCTTCTTGCTTGTTCTGCCTACTATGACTAATTTGATCCCGTTGTAAAGGACGGGCTGTGGTCTATCTTGGGTTAGTTCTAAAAAAATGTTTGACCTAGCTGTGCCAAAAGCCCTAGAAAGCCTAGGTAAATTACGATCGCAGAACGGACAAACAATTTTCTTTTTAAAAGGCCTCTTTTTATTTAATTTTTTATGATCATGTTCGATCACCAAGGTGAATTATTAAAAAATGTCCCGCCTTTCCTTTCTTTGATTTGGTGGATATATCTCATTATTGTAATACTGTTTTGAATATTCGATGAGGGTTGTTGACGTCAACCGCATTTATTCAATGGAGAGAGATGCTATGCTACTAGGCTCAATTCATGAATATGCATATGTAACAGTGTTGCTTCCGTCCCTCTCCTCACCCCTACCTGGGCTTGAACCAGGGACCCTCTGCACACATCGACAACAATCATACGTCTCGAGACAACTCCGTTAGAAAGTGTTTTTTCGCAAAGTTGCCGGGATGTCACGTGACCTACTTATGTCAGTACACTCCTAACTTAAGCATTACGAAACTTCTATTCAATCAAATAACCCTCACGTAGCAAATAAGCCATAAATTTTTTTGTTTTCCACAGTGATAGTGCTGACATTATCCACGTATTCCTACTGTTTATTTAAAAATATATATATATTTATATATAATTGTTTATATATATATTTTTTTTCATTATTATACAAAATTATCAGCAATCAACAACTTACATCCCTACATCAAACATGTCTAACAAAACAAAACACAGGTATAAACAATATACTGTATTTTTTTTAAAACAAACTAAATATGAAAAAATGTAAGTGCAATTGTATTCACTCAGAAAAAAATCTAATTATAATGATTCAGGAAGATTTTTTTTGTTATTCACTGTGGATAATGTCTTAACAAGATGATTAAAAGAAATCAAAAATATTTGTACATTTGGTATAGAATTCTGGAATTTTTGTTTGTGTATAAAGTATTTGCCTACAAGAATAAACAAATTCACAATCATTTCAATGCTCTTGTTATCATTGCAATAGTAACATATTCATACCTGCCAACTTTTCAAAAAACCTTGGAGTGAGATTTTGTCCTGGGTCCGCCTGGGTCCTGCAGTCGGTGAAAAGCAATTGCACTGCCTGCGTCTCAGAACTGCGGCCACCTTGATCTCATGAGGTTATCGTTGCCCACATGTGCATGACGTCAGAGAAAATCGGGATCAAGTCGGACAAAAAATCAAACCAGCATGCATTGGGCGGTGATCGCCGGTGATCGATTCTGCGCAGACCTGGCTCATCTCAAATGAGCCTCTTGTCTATGATCTGTCGGCATGTTTATACTGGCCTGTGGCCTTCTTGGAGGCCTTGATGATATCGGAGGGGGGCTCCCATTTGAAGCAGGGCTCCAGATTGGCCATCTTTATGGTCATTATTGAGGACAGGGTGCCATCCAATGCTAGGCTGTTTCTTCTCTTGGTTTTGTTCAGTCCCACAACTGAAAACCCCCTCTCAGCATCTGCGTTTGCATGGGGCAACACCAGGACAAGCTTGGCGACGGCAGCAAGCCTCTCGAATTCTTTGGCTCCTGTCACCTTTGGAAAATGCACCAAAGCACAATGGAAAAACATACCTTGATTTTTGATTGATTAATACTGTATGTCACGGATTCTGCCAAGGCTGCTCCTTGCTCGGGCAGGCTTCGGCGTTTGTCGTCCCCGGAGTACTAGCTACTGCCGATCGATGTTTTCGGTGTTTGTCTTGTGTTGTCTAGTTTATTACACCTGTTGCTTAT